TTCTATTTAGTTTCATTGCAATTAATTTGAATAAATCTAACTATAAAATCAAATTTTTTCTTTGTAACAATTAGTTCAATTTGATTAGCTGACGATTAGCTCTCTGGAGCAATATGTAGAAATTGGAGAAATCTTAATGTAATCATTTAGAACAAAATATTAGGTTGGTGCAAAAGAAATTTCGGTCGATATAAAATGTTCTTATTTTTTTAATCTGAAGAGCTTATTTGATGTTCTTTTGTGCATTTGTACTCTTGGATATTTGCTTTATTTTCGCACTTTTTCAAAGTCAGAGCTTTCACTTTTTAATTGATTTTTGCTTTAGATCATGGTGGATCAAAAGTATGTTCTGCGCACGTGTCTTCTCTATGACTTCAAAATGGGCAAAAACGCTGCTGATTCACATCGTGATCTCTGTTCCGCCTTTGGAGAACAGGTTATCACCGAAAGATCATGCCAGCTCTGGTTTGCCCAATTCCGAGATGGTAATGAATCCCTTGAAGACGAATCGCATGGACATCGTGCCACAGCCATCGACAACAATGAATTGGAACAATTAATTGAAGCTGATCCAATGCAAACAACACGAGAACTTGCCAAACATCTCCAATGTGATCATTCAACAATTGTACGCCATTTGGAAATAATTGGAAAGACAAATCGTAATGGACAATGGGTTCCACATCAATTGAGTGTTGAGAATCTGGGAGCACGCGTTTCGATCAGCCATATTTTGCTCCATAAGTCGAAAAGAAGCCATTTTTTTGAGAATATCTTGACGATGGATGAGAAGTGGATTCACTTTGATAATACTTCTCGAAAAAGACAATGGCTGAGCAAAGGTCAAGCGCCAATTCCAACTCCAAAGCCGGATTATCATGGGCGCAAAGTGATGTTGTCTTGCTGGTGGAATATCAATGGACTTGTTCATTTTGAATTATTAGAGCCCGGAAAAACAGTCGATTCATCTTATTTTATTCAACAACTCAAGAAGGTTGACGAAATTTTGCGTGAAAAAGGCCTAAATCCCTCAACTATCAACTTTCTCCGTGATAATGCTCCAGCTCACACGGCAAAAACCTCTTGTAAGGAACTAGAGAAGCTAGGATGGAAGGTCTTACCACATGCGCCGTATAGTCCAGACTTAGCACCCTCCGATTTTCACCTTTTCAGATCGATGCAACATTCCCTTGAGAATTGCCAGTTTAAGAATGCAAAAGAAGTCGAAAATTGGGTGACCAACTACTTTGCATCACAGAATCAAGCGTTCTGTGAGAAGGGGATCCGCAATCTGTAGCAACGTTGGAGGGATGTCATAGATAATAATGGTGCTTATTGTTTTAAATAAATTGTTATCAAAAAAAATTTTGGATGACTTTAATGTTTGTAAAAAAACGAAATTTCATTTGCACCAACCTAGTACCTATTTTGCGCAAAAGTTGTTGATTGGCTAATGGGAAAGAAGATTGGCTAATGGGAAAGAAGACAAGGAGTCGTCATCGAAATTTGCTTGCTAAATTAGAATTTAAATTTAAATAGCTTTTGGTTTACAGCTGTTTTTAGATACTGACAAGATAAACACCTCATTCTGCAGTCTCTGTTGAGAGCCGGTCATATTTGCGAAAGCTTTTATGTTCTTGAGATCAATTCTGAAGTCAAGAAAAGTTTATTGCATTTACTAAAGCTTTTAAACTCACGAGTTTGTTAAATCTTTCATTGTGATTGGAAATTTCCACTCTGGATTCTCCTTTGTTCTATTGATCTGCTCCAGCAGGAAATGTTCTTGGATATTGGTCGGCAAACTCTCCAAAGCCTTTTCTGGAAGCATATTTAGGAAGTTACTCTACTGCAAGTTATCATTGAAGTTGTTAGTCAATTCGTTAAAAATTCTTATTCTTTACCTAACTCCAGTAGAATGAGTTGATTGTTTGCCGGTGTTTTGAGAGAGAATGTGTCTTTGGAAAGCGTTTTCTAAAGTTCTTTTGAGGCTCTGGATCTTGGTTTTTACACAAACTTCAATCAAACGGCACTTAATTTTAAGGAAAAACCACTATCTAACAGATCTATAGTAAAGAACGTTTACTTTTGCAGCTTATTTAAACAACAAACTCACATGGCTCCCATTTGATCCACGGTTATGTGTCGTCATTTTAAAGAAATATCAAAACGAAAAAAGTATAGAATTCTTCGAAAAAGAAAGTATAAAGTTCTCCAACAAACAACGAATACTGCAAAATGGATCTGAACTGATGCTGACCAGTCTCTAAGTAAGCAAAAAAAAGTCTTGCAAAATAAAATTCCCAAAAACGATTTCCCACAGGTCACAGCTTCGAAAAACTTTTTTTCTTGCACAAATTTCCCTTTTTTATCTTTGCCACAAGACTTGCTTTTTGGAACGCAAAAATGAACTTTTTTTACAAAGAAGCCAGGAAACTGATAAAAATATCGTTGCAACGGACAATTCCACCCGCTTTTTTTTCAGCAGATAATCAAAAAAGCACAAGCTTTGCGCTGAAATTCTTGATGAAGACCTGGAAGTTTCTCGTAATCTTTGTTTTGCTCTGCATAACCGCTGTGATAATTGAGTTTTGTGAGAATCTTTGAAAAGTTTTAAATAGGTCAACGAAATCCAAACAACGCCGAGGATTGGAATAAAGACAAAATGATGAACGGCAAAAAGAAGTTCTGAAGAAAAATGAGAAGAGAGCCGAAGTAATGGTATTATTTGTATTGAATATAATAGATAGAAGCTAAGTTTCATACCTACTCTTTTACCAGAGCCCGTATTCTCGTCAGCCGGAAACCCTACCGGAAAGGAATTTTTCGGCTACCGGAAACGCAAAAAAATTTCCGGCTTGGACAAGCATACCGCTACCGGAAAAGCTACCGGCAACTTTTTTGGGTTTCCGGCAGGGTTTCCGGCAGAAGTTTCCGGCTGACGAGCATACGGGCTCAGTTCAGTTCAATAGTCTCAGCTAAAGTTTTGCTATCCATTTTCCAGAGCACTTTCATTGCGAAATGCCGGAAAATGCCATTAATGGGTGGGCATGTTTGTGAATGTCACAATCATTTTCGCAACTCATTGCACCGTATTTTCATATTTCTTTATCTAGATTTTCGCATTTCGCATTTTCACAAAAACTGAAACTGTTCGTTTTGATGCAAAGGGTTAAGTTCAGATGGAGGAACAAAGTGGATTTCAGTGTGTATCAGCCGCTGCGCGAATCCTTTTTTCTCAAAGCTCTCAAAGTTCATTCGCGAGGCAGCATTAGGGACGGACAAATCAAAAAACTATTGTTGATTTGTGTTCAGACTTAATGTTTGATTTGCCAAATTTTCAGCTTCTAGTTCATCGTTTGAAGATATCAGACAAACGTTTGAAGATATCAGATCATGTTTTATATGTAGCTGATTGAAAGTTGCTTTCTGCTTGGATCTACCGTTTGATGGGGAAAATCGTGGCATTCACCTTCAGAATGATTCATGACGACGTAAAGAAACAGTACGACGGAGAATCTTGTAACATAAAAATCAGTTGTAGTATGCTGTAAGGTACTTTTCTTTTTCCAAATTTTTAACCTTTAACTGTGAGCTTTCCATAAGAGCCCATCATCTCCATTAGCCTGTATCAAAGAACAAAATTTTCCAGCTGAATACTTTATCACTAAGAAAAAGTGAAGTCATAAGCGGATTTCATTTTCATCTAATCATTGAATAGGGAAGGGTCATAGAATACAAATTGTGCAGGAAAATCATCCCTTTGAGCTCTTATCTGACGAATGAAATAGGAGAAAATGCTCTTCAGAAAGTACTTATTTCTTGAATTTCTACACTGAAAATGCTTTTTTAAAGTGCTACTTGCAGATAAATGCTAAGAATTGTATGTTTAAATAATGTAAAATAACTTAGTGTCTTTAGTTTTTGCAGTAATCATTTCAGTCTTGCCCTGTCAGTGTACAGAAACCCTGTCAGAGCTGGCCAAAAGCTTATCCTTGCTTCGAAATAAGAATTTAACCTCAATTTTAACATGTACAGGGTGAGTCATAATTATTGCAACAAGAGTTCAAAGACCGTTTTCCAAACAGGAAAACGGGCGTGTCATGGGCGTGTAAAGCCAATAACAATCAAAATTGGACCTTGATGCAAGATGGAGCTCCCGCTCACACGAAGAAGACGGTTCAGGGCTGGTGTGTGGGCAACTTTCCCTCAGTGATCGCCAAGGATGAATGGCCTCCAAACTCACCGGATTTCAATGTGATGGACTTTTCCATTTGGGCAATCTTAGAGGCTAATCTCTGCTCTCGAAAACACACAAGTTTGGATCCTTTGAAGAAGTCTTTGACCAAAGGATGGAAGGCGATTCCTCAAGATGACATTCGGGCCGCAGTGGAGGCATACCCGAACCGATTAAGGGCTGTTATCAAGGCAAAAAGCGGTCATATCAAATGATCTCTTGTTTCCTTATTTGTTACTGTTAAATAAAGCTATTTCTGTTTAAAAATCTTCTTCCAGTGAAACTTCTTGGTGTGCAATGCCTTGAGTATCTTGTTGCAATAATTATGACGCACCCTGTGCATGCTTATCGAACTGTAGTAATCAATAAATTTTCATTTTTATAGCCTTTCGAAAGCATTACAGTACTCTTTACTGGTAATGCAGTGACCCTGTCAGAGCTAGCCAGTATCACCTTGAGTTTCACAAAGCATAGTACCCAACATTGCTTTGTTTCATGCAAAAACATGCTCCAATGGCACCAATCTATCAAAGTTTTTGAAAATCGTACCCGAAATTCCGCTATTATTCTATGAGAGAAAGCGTACAGGATCTATTTTGTGCGTTTCTGTCAATTTTCCAGCTGAATACTTTATCTCTAAGAAAAAGTGTCAATTTTTCACGTTGACAATGGGTTTTTGCTTATTTGCCTCTAATAAAATTGTTTCAAAATAACATTTATGCACACAAGCTAAAAGAATTCATTATTCAACTCCAACTCCAACTCAAACGAATGGCCGTTGGCAGAGCACACCGACTTGTTTACTGGGAACAGCTAGCCACATGTCAGGAAATCCCGTGTCTGATCCGAAAATCATATTCATCACATTGCCCATGTACGGATGCTGGAGATCAACTGAAAGATCAAAAAAATGAATCTTCAGTTGAGTGAGTTTTTTATGGATGCGTTTTCTAAAGTATGTCAACTTTTGGAACCTATCTTAACCATGTTCTTACAATTAGTTTTACAAAAAGCTATCGTAATTCGACCTTTAGTCTTGCGAAAGGTACCGTAATCCTCGCCAATCTCGCCTAATCTATCTATTTTTTTTAATTCTTTTGGAACTCACACAGAAACAGATTAAGGTGAATAAACTGGATAAAAACTAAGACAAGATTACGGTAGCTTTGAAGACAAGATTACGGTAGTGGGCAATTTTTAGTTGTAAGTAAGTGATTGAATCAACTCACAAACTGGCTGGGGATCGGGAAAGAATGTGGCCTTCACATTTTTGAAGCAAATTGGATCAAAAGCGATATCCGGATTGGAATAAGCCTAAAAGGTTTTTTATCTAGATCTAATTTTTTTATCTATTTTCTCCTTACCTGATATCGAATGAACTGTTGATACTCTTTGTAATCGGCTATTGCCGTGGGCAAAGCTTTGATTGGATTGATCCAACATTTCGCTCTCGATAACCACGTGCTGAAACTTGTTTTTTGTTTTTGTCTTGACTCTAAATTTAACAAAACCCACGCGCAATTAATGACATTTATCCTTTTCGTGCAGTTGTTGATCGCATTCTCATAGCTTTTCGGCAGATTTCCATTTCCGACCATGAAATCGGGAGCTGGAAATGAAAATCGGGTCAAGTTTTAGTGTCCCTGGTCAGGGATGTTCCAAAAACCAGGCCAAAGCCAGCTCCATTTCTGCCTTCTGGTTAGTCCAGATATTTTTCGTGCGCAAGGTCAGATCTGGCCTTTAGTTCTGGAAAATTCCTGTTCTTGGTTACCAAAGTGAGCTGCTGTTGCATCAAGTCCATTCAAGAAAATCTGATGTCCATTCGGTTTAGCAACGATTCCAAGCCAAGCCAATTTTACTCCAGAGCCTGGAAAGTAGAAGAGAATGGTTATAGTGCTCCGATCTTTTTCAAAATCACCTCGAAAAAGATTCCTGACCCTTGTCGCATCATTTTCATTTGCCAACATCAACAGTTTTCCATTCAAAGAAGCACATGTGGCTTTCGCAGCGGTAAATGTTTGATCTAAGGAGTGAAATGAGTAGAAGGAAGTTGAAAGGAAACTTTCTATTAAAATTCTTAATCTAATAAAGTTAGAACATTTTTTTGATATTTCAAAAAAAGCTCAAATTCTTTTTAAAGGAAAAGACCGAATTCGCACTAAAACTAAATTATCGTCAAGATTTTTTGATGAGGCTTTATGTAGGAATGACTAAAGTAAATCGGCTTATTTATTTTGTTTATTTATATATATTTTATTGTAGTAATAGGTGTAGTTATAGAATTTTTGATGAAGCTTTATGTAGAAATTAATAGATTCGATCGATTCCCTGATCCCGTAAAACCCTCGAATCCAAATTTATAACTCACTCAATATCTTGATGTCATCTACAAAGCAAAAGAGAAATCCCTATGCAAATGACTGGCGACTGGTGTTCTTTGTGCGGGTTAATCGCTCTCCATCTGACAAACCGCTCCGCTATAGAGTGCTTCTCTTTTGGAATCCATAAAGGGAAAAAGAAGCGGTCAGCGACTGAGCTTTTTTTCTTTTTTGGGCGTTAGATCTTTGGCACGAATTCTCACCTTAAACTTGGCTATATTTTTGCTTGTTCAACCATTTAATCAGTTCTAATTGGCAGACTCAATAAAACAAATTAACTGATTTACTTTAGTCATTCCTACATAAAAGCTCATCAAAAAGAAAAAATTATACTGCTACACCAACCTGCCAATAATTTAATTTTAGTGAGAATCGACCCTCAATTTGAATTCCTTTAACAACCTCGCTTTGGCTTTAAAATCCTACACTACTTTTACATACTCTTTGCAATAAGTTGCACGCAATAAGGTCGTCCAATTAAACCCTTCGATCCAGCTGGACACGCGCATAGACAAATTTGAATTATTGAGAGAAATATTAGAGTAGAATGAAAAAATGATATCATAGTGTGTATTTGAATGAATTTTTGAGCCATAATTTGACTTGATCAGCATTTTATAGGTATGTTGAGCCGATCATGTGAACTCTTTTTTTGTGTGTGGGTCAACATGATGTTTGCTTCATGGAAAAGCCATCAATAATTGCATAAATTTTGAAAAGAGATAGATTTTATTGGTTTTCACGTCTTTTTTTTGTAAGTAAAAGTTTGAATTTATGGAATGTTGTCGAAAAACGAAAATCAATTTCTGTGCATTGGCCTATTTTTGCATGCGAAAACTGGCTTTTGCACATTTCTCTTCTGCACTCTTTCACCAAACAAATTGTTTTTCTTCGGATGAAAAGCAGATCCAAACGAGTCGATCTTCATTTCTACTGAATAACATTATCTTTCTAATGCCTTACTACAAATTCACCTACTTTGCTGTTCGTGGGAAAGGCTGGCAAAGAGAATTTCTGATACTTATGGATTAACACATCACTAGCTCCAATTCATAGCTTACTTTCTGTCCAACTAAGTCTAATTTGAACTCTTTAGTTGCTGAAGATTTGATAATATATTAGGTTGGCGGGAAAATAATGCAAATCTTTAACTTGTGCTCTTAGAAAAGTAATGGCAGACAAACAGAGAAAACCGCGAAAGTAGCAGAGAAGCAGAGTGTGTTTGCTTACACAATCATAATATTATTCGAAAACATTTGTTCATTTGTTATCAAAAAATGACGGAACAAAAATTCCTTAATCGAACTGCTTTACTCTATGACTTTAAGCTTGGAAAATTTGCCCGTGAATCGCATAATTCTATTTCTAAGGCCTATGGCGAAGGTAGTATTAGCGAAAGCCAATGTTATCGAGGGTTTGAGCGATTTCGAAATGGAAACCAGAGCCTAGAAGATGAGCATCACGAAGAACGTCCTCGAAAGATGAATGAGTCTCAACTTTTGCAGATTATCGAAGAAGATCCCACTTGCACCACTCGGGAGTTGTCGGAAATGTTTAATGTTCAACATAGCACCATTGAAGAGCATTCACATTTGATTGGAAAGCCAAACAGATGCGGGAAATGGATCCCACATAAACTGACTCTCAATCACAAAATTGCCCGTATGAACACTTGTTCAATTTTGATTCAAAAATCAAAAGCACATGATTTTTGGTAATCAATTGTTACTTCTGATGAAACGCGGATATTATATTATAACGTTAAGCGCAAGCACCAATGACTATCACCAAAGCAAGCCCCGGTTGTCACCTCAAAACCTGGTCTGTATGGAAAGAACTTGATGTTGTGCGTATGGTGGAACTATCGTGAATTGGTTTATTTTGAATTGTTCAAACCGGGTAAAACTATCACAGCTGAACCTTACAGTGAGTAGTTAGAGCGTGTGAATCAAGCTTTATCGAAATCTCGACATGACACTTCAAAAATTCGGTTTTGCATGATAATGCAAAACCCCACACAGCAAAGATGACCCTCCAACAAATCGAAGAGATGGGCTGGAAACTTCTACCTCACGCCCCATACAGCCCTGACTTGGCCCCATCATACTACCACTTATTCAGGTCTCTAAAGCAGTTCAAGGATTAGCTATTCAAGGATTCCCAGGAAGTCGAAAATGCGGTTACCAACTATTTTTCGTCAAAAAGGCCTTAGTCCTTTGAAGCTGGAATTATTGAATTGAGCAAAAGATGGCATGATGTCCTAAATAATAATGGAGAATACCTTTTTATATTAATCCTCTTTATTTATTTTTTTAAAAATAAAAATTCGGGTGAAAAAAATTCGCATTATTTTCCCGCCAACCTAATAATATCGTTCTTGAATCTTGAAACAAATTTCTCGGCATAGAAAGTACAGTAAAAGGAAAATTGCCCAATCCAAAAATTCTTCAACTTTTTTTGAATTAAATTTTACCCTTAACATTTTCATTTACATTAGCCAACCTTTCCCCGACGATTTTCGTCAAGCTTGCGATATTTGTTTGAAGTTGATAACTAGATCTTTTGAAAATCGCAAGCAACACGTTAAACGAACTTTTCTTGGACTCTTTTTCCCAAATTCATAATCCTTGTCTCAAGTTGGGAACTAAAATTTGTGTAAAATTTTAATGAAATCTTAAATGTCTCACATCTTTTCGTCGAGAACTTTGAATTTGAACCGGTTCGAGTTTGTCAAAAGCTATCAAACCAAATTGTGAAAAGGTAAAATCATCAAAGGTTTTATGGTCAGAGCAGTTCCATAATATCCTCAAGTTATCCGGCCAGTCCAAACCAGACATAGGAAAATTCCAAACTAAACCTAATTTCATCTTTGTTTTCTCAGCCGTCTCTTGGTCGATTCTTCTGAAATTTTATTTACAAATAGAGATTGGTATTCTCTGCTTGAAGACAAAATTTCAGAGCATAATTTAAACAAAGAGATTGACACTTAGCCTCCGCAGTTAAGCATTTAAAAATATGCTAAAGAATCAAGCACCTTGTTGCGGAGTTTTGGATTAGGCAATGCAGTGACGCAAGAAATCAATATATGTTTAACATCTACTGGAACTTTCGGATTAAAAAGTAAACAAGCTTTCAGAGCCAAAAATGATCTTTAAGCTTTTTCAGGCCACAAATCCTTTGTTCTTTTCTGAAGGTGCTAAATATTTCACAAGGAAAATGGAAAAGCTGCAGCAAAAGAAGAATTTTGTCTATTTTCTCAATTCCAATTCTCTTAAATGCTTCCATTTCCTTTTCCAAAACTATCTCTTTATTTACAATCATCAATTTTCAATGTTTTAAATGATCAAGAAGTTCTCGGGTGCTTGAAAGTAAATGTAATTCTGCAAAATTTGGCTCTAGAAAGAGGAATCTTCACAAAATATCTTAAAGAGGTCAATTTCTGGGAAGAAAATGCTTTACTAAAGTGTGTCTGTATTTCAAAAAACTTCGAAAATGACCTCACTTCGATAAACGTTTGGGAATTATTGGAAGATCGCAATTCTGAACAAATCATCCACCAAATCGCCAAGATTCGTTTCTGTGAAAACCTCAGGATTTCGGTTTGGAGATGGGGAAATGGTATGATTACATTGAAAAAGTGGAAAATATTTTCATACCTGAAAAACCTACAAACATTTCATGTTTCTGGGTGCTTGAAATTTATGAGAATCCTCTTTCGCAACTTTGATCCAAACTCTGTAGAACAAATCGAAGTACTTATCGATCATCGAGATTCCTTGGAAACACTTGTGGATTTTTATGGAAATTTGTTTCGGAGAAGTGCTTTTCAGATTAGTTCGTAAAAAATTTGAAACACATTTGTTTCGAAAGCACTATTAGTCTACTAATAGCTTTCTACTAAAATCAGATAATAAAACCCTTTCTGTTTGACGTCTTTTGTCCAGGTTAGGGCCAAGCCCTTAGGCCTAGGATATATTTTTGTTGGACCAAGCCAATGATCATAAGCCAGACCCAAGTCTGATCTAATCCATTGTTTAATCTAAATCGGGCCTTGTTGTTGACATTGATAGCGTGTGTTTGGGCAACAGGAAGCAGCTAAAGCATTGGAGGCGTTTTGCACCATTGCACCATATTCTTGATGTGAGGGGCCGGTTTTGAGATCTTCATTTGCTCGCATGACATCAGCATTTGAAGGAAGATTTGAGACGAATCGAGATAAAGCGTCGGCTCCGCCTCGGTGGCGACTTTGGATGTGGACCGTACATTCATTTGATCAGCGGCTTTTTTTTCAGTTGTGTGGCGATCAGCAGCTGTCCCAATGATGAGGCTTCAAGGCCGTCTTGCACGAACATCTTCATTCTCTCTGCCGCGTCGGCTATCTCAAACGCTTTCGGGTTGGTTTCGGCAGCTACGAGCGGCGTGTTCTCCTCCTGGATCAGCTTCAGAGCTTTGGCCAGCTTCGTCTCGGTTCCCTCTTCGATCATGACGGCGATTTTGTTGTTGAACTGTTGTTCTTGCTGTTGTTATCGTTGAACCCGAATTGAACGGCGAGAGCCTTGATTGACGTCGGGAGTTTCACTTGTTGCTTT